AGAATTCTGGGATTACATGTGGCGCCACCACACCTGGCAACAAACTGTATTTTATATTCTTAAAATAAGGCAAATTTGACTGTGATTAACTGTCCAAAAATGATGATTCTGCTACGTTTAATTCCTATCTCTTAAAAATTTTAAGTTCATTTAATGGATGATACTGGCCTTTAATTTTTCATTTCTATTTCTATCAGCTTTTGGTATAAAACCTATGCTAGCTTCATAAAAGAAGTTAAAATCCATCCCTTTACTATCCCCTAGACAAGTCTATAAAAGTATTGTATTTGTATGAACTATGTATATATTAATTAGAGAAGTAATGTGGACCTGCAGTTTTGACTAGAAAAGTTCAAAATTATAGTTACATTAAAAGGAAAATTTAATTTTCCATCTTATTTTACATTCTATTTTGTCTGTTTTAATTGTAACAATTTTCTTTTTTCATGTAAACATATATATGAAGAGCTTTGCATCTAAGCTGTAGACGTGGCCACCCTAAGGGCTCAGCAGATGAAGTAGGGTATAACTTGGAGGGAGGCCACAACCTTGCAGCTGCAGGATGCAGGCACATTTTCTGTGCTGTTTCCAAGCATTCCAAGACTATCAACTCAAGCTAAATGCCACTTCCCAATGCCGTCAGCTTAAGTATAACATGTACTTTTCTCAAACTATCTTTTGGACTTCTCTAAGAATGCCTTAGTTCTCTTTATGCATAAAAGATAGAGTAATCTTTTAAAGAATAGAGTGGTCATCAGCCCTCTCTTTTTCTTCGTGTTACACAAGTCATCAGAGTTCAGCCCCACCATTAACAATGGGAGAACTATACCTTTAAAATAATTGGTGTTCTTTGTATCTTTTTAAAGTTTTTTAGGTTATGTATTACAGGCCTCCTTTCATTTTTACAATGGTTTTCTAGACATATGTTCTCTTAAAGAGATCTGATCATTTCCATTTTTAGCAACTCAATTTTCTACTTTGACTTTTTTCTGCACCTCTCTTTATTATGTGCTTTTTATGAATATACTTTTGAGTTGTATCTGCTATCTTTCCTGACTGGAGATAAGTATTTAGTGGATTTTACACTTATACTGTGTAATATATACATTTAAACATACTGTATTGTTGAGCTGGGGGCGCTCCCTTAATCGTGGGATCAGTTATAAATCTCAAGCTTTCATTGATACATATTTTCACTACCATTGATGGAAATATTTTTCTAATAACTGTTAGAACTCCTTTGATGTAATTAAATTTTGTTTGCCTATTTTGAAATTATTTGAAGTGAAATTTGCAAAAGTACAGACCTCACATACACCTTTACACAGATTTAAGTTTTTCAAATTTTGCCTCCTCGTAGCCCTGAACCACTTAGGAATTCAATGTGCAATTCCTAAAAATGAGTGTCTCTTACTAACTCTACAGCACATTTATTACCTTTAAGTAAACTGACATGACAGTGATGCAGTATCACATTGAATCCATAGACTATATTCCTATTATGTCATCTGTCTCAATGTCTTGGTATGTTTTACCTCTCTACTTCAGGATATAACAGCCCAGGATCATGCATCAGTGCACTTAATTTTCTTATGAGCCTTGTTTCTTTATTTCTCAACATGATTTTTCTCTTCCCTATTGTTTTCTAGAATAATTGCACAGGGATTACACAGTTATCTTGCAGGACTTCAATCTTTTGAAATTTCCCCCTCCAAATTCTTTGTATGTTTGTAAAGAATGTAAATTACTATGTATAAAGTTCCATTGCCACCATAAAGTCACTCACTAGTTCTTGCTATTTTAATCTTACTGATCTGCTACTAATATTTAGTCTACTTGTTTTATCAATTAAGGATACTGAAATTTCCTACTATGGATTTATTTGAGTTTTTTTAATATAAGCTTATAGTACATACCAATTTAAACTAATGTATCTTTTAGATTGAGCCTTTTACAAAGTTCCTTCCTTTAAAGTATTTTATCTGGCACATCAGCATGCCCTTGGTTAATCTTTATATGTCACATATCTTCCCATTAATCTATTTATACAGCTGGGATTTAGAAGTTTCTCACAAAAAGCAAACAGGAAAAAAAAAAAAAAAAAAAAAACAAGCAGCTAGACACAGTGGCATACCCTCCTACCTGTAGTCCCAGCTACTCAAAAGACTGATGCAGGACTGCTAGAGTCCAGAAGTTCAAGGCCAGCTGAAGCCACCTAGTGAGAAATGGTCTCAGAAACAAAACAAAACCTCAAATAACACATTTTTCTATTTTGTTTCATATCTAATCTGAAACTTGTACCTTATAATTTAGGACATTTTGTTAGTTTATATTTATTATAATTATGAATGTATTTGTACATCTACGAAGATCATTTTTGCTGTTGTTCTTCTGTTTTTTCCAGACAGGATGTTGCTATGTTGTTCAGACTGGCCTTGAACTTGAATAGATCCTTCTGCCTCAGCCTTCCTGAGTCCTGGAATTATAGGCATGAATGGCAATGCCTGGTCCCAAGACCTTTTTCTCTTTAATCTATCTGTTCTTTGTTGATTTATCTCCCTTTATTGGTGTAGTTTTAAGACTGATTGTTCCATACCCATGTTTCATCTTGGTAGGCATATGTACTTTCACTGCTCTTTGAGAGACAACAGTACACATTACAAATAAATGCACATCTTATTTTACCACGCAATATCTCTACCTCTTTTCTTCCTGGAGTACACATGAACCTTACACACACATAACATACCACATATTAAGACAGTACTTTGTTTCCTAAGCTAACAGTCATCTATTTTCCCCCAGTATTTTGGTTGTTCTTTATTTCACTTGTCTCCTACCCAAACGGTTTGCCAGAGATAAAACTCCCTTTGTCTGAATATGTGTTTCATTCACTCTCATTTTTAAGAAATATGCTCACTGGATATAGAATTTTAGGTCTGTGGTTATCTTTCATGTCTTAAAAAATCCTACCTCCTTAATTATCCTGTTGGATGGTTACATGACCCTCCTGAGCATGCACTAGGTGTCTCTCCTCAGCAGCTGAAAGTTGTTGCCATGACATCTTGTCAAACACTGCCTCACTCCTTCTCTCTTTTATTTTCTTCCTGGACTTCAGTTACCCCTATGTGAGAACTTCTTTATATTCACTTGCCTATCCCTTCAACTTTTCAACCTTTTGTTGACTGTGCTTCATTTCATTCCACATATTTTCTTAATAATTTTCTTCTAGGTCATCAATTCTGATTTTCTACTATAGTCAAGATCTGTCCAACATCTTACTACTTACTTTCAGTCACTGTAATTTCAGCACTTTCCTCTCCATGTAGTAAAGTTTTCAATTTCAGACCTTCATTTTGCCTTCTATCACACTGACAGTAAGACAGTGGTTGTGAGTCTTTTTACATTGTTTGTTGTACCTGCTAATGTTTGCTCTCACTGTCTTATTTTCTGGCATGCCTGGTTATTTCTGTATACTGGATTCTGCTTTGCAAAATTCTTTCATAAAATGAATCTAAGACCCGGAATGTTTTCTTCTTCCAGAGAGTAAAACATTTGATTATACCAGATATTCTGAAGCACTAGCAACACGATTTCATTATAACACAATTTTAGGTGCTGAGTTTTGGCCTTTATGAGGAAATATTTACCAGCTAACTCATCTTTATGGTATAATTATAGACTTTCAGGCTTCTAACGCAAGCCAAGAAGTCTTTACTATAATGACATCTTCAATCTAAACCCTGATTTCAGCCAGGTGTGGTGGTGCATGCCTGTAATCTTAGCACTCAGGAGGCAGAGGCAGGAGGATTGCTGCAACTTAAGAGGCCAGCCTGGGCGACAAGGCCAGCTGAAGGCCCGACTGAACTGCATAGCAAGACTCTGTCTCAAAACACCAAAAATAAATAAGTAAGTAAATAAGTAAACTGACTGGTCAGCCCTGTGAGGGTATGAAAATACTCTTGGGGCTGGGAGTTTATAGCTTAGTGGTCAACTGCTTGACTAGCATGTGTGAGACTCTTGAGATTAGTCACTAACAATGAAAAGGGAGAAAGAGGGAAAAGCTTATACTTCAGAAGGGGAGAAAAAGCTCTACCATCCTCTGTTCACATTCTAACCCAATAATTCTTTATTACTGTATTAGCTCTAAAATTTCTTATATAGATGATTTCTAAATTTTGTCCAGCTTTTCTATTTGTCCTCACTGGAGTATGCCATTATGCCATTATTGGGTGCATAGGACTTCATAAGTAATTATATATTATCAATTTTTTTTTTTTTTTTTGTATTTTGTATTTTTATCGGTACCGGGGATCGAACTCATGACTGCCTGCTTGCAAGGCAGGCGCTTATGCCGCTGAGCTAAATCCCCAGCCCCTTATATATTATCAATTAATCATAATCTTAAGGTTAAAATCAGTGGCTGCTTACTCAAATGCCTATGGAGGTCAGATGGAGACATTTACCAACTGGGAAATGTATATTCATTCCAAAGGGCACTAGGTTAATTTCAACCAGATGCTGACATGAATGTATACAACAGCCATGTTCTGGAAAGAAGCTAGAAATCTGAATTTAAAACAAACTAAATTACATATATAAAATCTTATTTTATAACACTAGCAACCAATTCCATATTTGATAAAAGAGGATGTGAGCCAATGTTTCCCAGCTTGGAGTGATTCTGCTCCACAGGACATCTGGCAACATGTAAAAACATTTTAAAGCCATTATTTTAATTGTCGTAACCAGGGAGGAATGTGACGTTGCTACTGGCACTGAGCTGAAATAAGTCAAAGACTTATACACATGACAGTGGTATCCCATAACACAGCATTATCTAGCCCAGAAGTTCAGTTAGGCTAAATCCTGGTACAAATCAGCACACTACTGGCCAGACAAAACATGTCTGCAGGCTGCCACTTGGCTGGGTAGCAGCAGTTCTCTAGTGCTCACGCCGCCACAATGTAAATCTGTATGCAAACGGAAGATGCCGGTACCTGTGCTCTTTGTGTTCCAGCAGTTGACAGTCCCGACACGTCAGTTTGTCACACGTCTCACAATAAAGCTTCAACTGCTCCTTTTTATGAAAAGGACAAAACACTGGTCTCTGACTAGTCACACCAACTGCTTCTGCAGAAACAAGGGGAGGCAAAGAGAAGAAAATTAATCCAATTAAATACTAATGATTGTTTGCACTCAAATCCACTAATATAAACATACCAGTTTCATCTGTAACCTAACTCCACTCAGTATTACAGATATTACAATAGTAAAGATTTCCAGCACTTCATAAGAAAGGGTAATAGCTTTTCATATATATTATATACCAAATATAAATATATACCAAAAACTTCAAAAATCTATGAATTTAATATGAAAAGCAACATAATGAGAACCTAGAAATGTAAATCTTTTATAACAAAAAGCTTTTGGGATCTATATAACAAGCAAATACTTCAAAGCAGATTTCTAGTAAGAGTGTCAGAAGGAAGAGTTATAAAACATTTAGGCCCATTCCTTGTCTCTTTACAAAAACTAAAATAAAAGAGAGCAAGAAAGAGTAACTTTTAAATATTTTCTCTAAAGCTACATAAAATTAAGATATCAGAAGAGTTGGGAATATAAAGTATAAATACATTCAAAGTGTAATACTATTTTGTATTGAAAAGAAGGAATACATTTAATGTTTGCTATTGTTCAAAATTAGTTAATATAATGAAGTAGAAAAATACGGTGAGAGAAGAAAAAAGGAAATGAAAGAACAGACTTGTTACCTGGAGACACTTCCTCTTTCTGCCTGACAGTATGGTCTTTTGTGAACTTCACCCTCTGATGAGCTCGAATACACGTCTTACACAGCCATTCAACGCACTCCACACAAAACCCATTGGCTTCGGCATTGTCTTCACAGCTTGTGCATACCTAACAATTCAAAGAGAAACATGCCAGGTATATTTCTGAGAATAATGAAAAGGTTGGTATATACTAGTCAATAATGTTTATGAGTTTAAACTGACATGTGCTAAATTATATGCATATAAATGGAAACAAATATTGGGTACATTTCTTATTATCAGTTCAATATACTGATTATTTCAGGCACTGTGCTAGGTGTTAGCTACGATAATCAGGAAAAGCAAATAGTTCTTCCTCTTAGGATACCTACAGTCTCCCGTATGGAAGGTTCAAATCCCAGTTCACTCACTGACTCATGAGTGAGCTGCAGCAGGCTAGCACTCATCTTTAAAATGAGGATAACGGCACAGATTTTCCTGTGTAGTTATAAAGAATTAATAGGTGGCAAATCACACAGAATAATCACACTAACAGGTAACTACTACTGAGAAGGAAAATCTGAGAAGTTATAAGAGCGTTTATGATGGAGAAACTACTGTCACTGTAGTGGAATTGGAAGATGGGTAAAGCAAGAGGAGATGGGAAAAGCTTTTCCTAAAAAGATCCTCTTAGTAACCAAGAATGAAAGTTGAATCAACAAAGTACAAGATAAAAAGCTTCCTAAGCAAAACAAAAGGCTGCAAGCAAGGACAGCACTGACCTGAGGACCTGAAAGAAGGCAATCAGGTATGGCATGTGGCAGTAATCCCAGCACTTGGGAGGCTGAGGCAGGAGGGTCACCAGGGGTTGAAGGCCACCATATGCTACATAGTTCAAGGCCAGCCTGAACTACATAGTGAGACTGACTTAAAAAACTCAAAAAAGAACTAAAAGGAAACAATTATGACTGAAGTGCAGAGATCAAGGGGAAGACTAGTAGGAGATGGTGTGAGGGCATGCAGGGACCACACAGAGGAGGGTCACAGATAATGGTCCCTGTTTGTAGAAGTCTACTGAAAGCCTTTAAGGAAGTAGCATCATTTCTATCCTTTATTCTGTTTTGCTTTTTTAAAATTAAAAAAAAAAAAAACAACAACAAAGTACCAGATGACCAGATTTCATTTTAAAATCACTTTTGTTGCAGTGTAGAGAGCAAGACAAACTAGAAGGTTCTCTAGTGGCTCTGGTGGGGGCTGATGGAAGGGCAGAGGAGAAAAGAATGGAGCTTTCAGATGATGTACTTGGTACTGTGGTAAGGGAGAGTGAGCACCTGTACTTCCATCTGCAGTAACTATGAAGAGGGGAGTGCTACAGTTACTGCCTACAGGCAGTTCTTGTTAACCTCTGGGTTTTTTGTTTTTCGTTATTATTTTTTTCTTTTGAGACAAGATTTTACTCTGTAATTCAGGCTGGCCTTGAGCTCACTATGTAGGCCCAGGCTGACCTTAAAACAGTCCTCCTGCCTTTCCCTACTAAGTGCTGGAATTACAGCCATCACAATATCTAACTAGTTTTTATTACCTTATTTGAAGCTGAGAAAAAAAAGTTTCTCAGGAATTGGCAAATTCCAGTTATTCAGATAATAAGTCTACAACCAAAACCTATCGTTTTTCAGATTTAATTATCTTCACCCTTTCTAATACTGTTTGATACTACTTGGTGTCTGTCTGCTTCCTGCAAACCACGTGGATTCTTTGCTACCTTCCAATTCTTACCTCCTTGAACGTTCCTCTGAATCCATCTCGTACTCTCCTTCTTCTGATTCTAGAGATCTCTGTTAGATCTGCTAATCTGCCTCATTTATTTAAAGCCTCAACTATCCCCAATGTCACCTAAAAGCTTATCTCTATAGCAGGCTACAAAAATGAATGAAGAATGTCCATATACGCTGTGCAGGGGTTTCTTGGTAATAAAGCAAAATTAGAAAATGCAAAGCAAGATGAGCCCATAAATACTATGCTTATTTAAGGAAGATGGGATGGAGTAGGATGATTTAAGATTGTACATAGTAGTAACAACGAAGAATAAACTACAAAAGCATAGTTTTTTATGGAGGGGAGGAAGTAAGGTAGACAGATAGGTAAGAGAGGGATACAAGTTTTGTGAATATCCTGTTTCACAGATTTTACTTTGGGAGTACATGAATGTTTTACACATAGTTGTACAAATATAAATTTCACAAGTTAAAATTCTAGGCTGAAGATGTAGCTCAGTGCCATACTTATCATGGAGAACTGATAAATATACATGTTCGAGCTGAACAGTTCTTACTTTCCCATCCTCTGCTCTGTCCCCTTTTCCATTTTCATGAAGTCTACTTTGCCATTTCCTATCATCTCTCTTTTATTCGGTTCTTTAAATTATTTGTATTTTGGGTTTCTCGTATAAGAGAAACCATGTGATAAACGGCCTAACATTATGTGAGGCCCTGGTCCAGGTCCCCAACACCAGCAAACAAAGACCCTAAATTCTGAAATATAAAGAGTGGCTTAACTATACAAGTGCACAAAAAATTGTTACAAGGAATTTTAAAACACTGTAATTTTATTGAATGTCTCCAGCACATCCATGTAGCAATCGCTGTCTTTCTTGCTGTTTTGTTGGAACACTCTACAATCTCCTCTCAGCTCCAACAGCTCCTTGCCATATACACTCATTCTGTAAGCCATCCTTACCCCTCACAGGATCCTAACAGTGAGTGGTTACTGAGAGGAAACAGCAATGCCAAAGAGACCACCTGGCCTCTGTGGCACTTTCTGCTTAGGGTTCTGTGAGCACCACTGTACCTGCTGCTTCACACCCACAGCAGCAGTTCCACCCTGTAGCAAGTTAGCTCTGCTTTGCAGTTCTTCCAGCACTTGCAGAATCAGCTTTATTGCAGCCTACTTCACACCAGCACCAATGTGTCAGAAGCCTGGGTCCCAAGCTGAACACTGAGACCCTGATGCCAGCCAAGTGGTGCCTTCCCCTCACAAGTTTGTGTGAAGTTCTACAGCGAAGTTCTTTCCCTCAGTTTGCAGCATTTACTAGAGCCAGCCTTTTGGCTTTGCTTCTTCTTCAGAGACCTCCCACAATTAGTACCTCCGCATACTTTTAAGAATTTTCTTCTAAGGAGAATAAATCAGACACTGAAGGTTAAATATCATGTGGCTTCCTTTTTATGAAAAACTCAAAATATAAATAAAGAGCCAAATAAACAAGAGATGAAATAGGAAATGGGGAGGAGACTTTGTGGAAATGGAAAAGGGACACGGACTTGGGGGAGACAGGAAAGGGATGTAGGCAAAAGGAGGAAGGGGAGGACTAGGAAGCAAAATGATGGGATACACACATGTATCAATTCCCCAAATCAATGTAATTATTACATATCATAAATACAATAAAAAATTGTATCTATCTTTTCAGAAAACACCTTTATATGTAGTTAACAAATTTTAATAATTAAAATGGGTCTTTAACTGCATCAAGACTAACATCATAGTGACAATATTCTAGAGAATATCACTGTTTGTGTCATCAAGAACAAAAATTTCCAGGGTAGAAGAGAGCCAAATATAAATCGATATAGTAAAATCACGTAATTCTAAATATGACTGAGGAAAAGACAACTCAATGCCCAAACCAATATTTTTTGTGGGGGTGGGAGTGGGAAGGCATGCCAAGAAATGAACCTAGGGCCTCAGGCATGCTAAACTTATACTGCCCTATACTCCAGGCCAGTTTCCATTCTTCAAATCTGGTGTCATGGCCAGGGATATAGCTCAGTGGCACAAGCACCTGCCTGACAAGCATAAAGTACTGAATTCGATTCTCAGTACCAAAAAAATAAAAATAAAAAAATTTTAAAAATTGGTATCATATAACAATTAGAATGTTTATCTTCTGCAGTAAGCCCTGCTTTGACTTTTGATGCAAGTCCACATTAGGGAAAACTGTGAGTGCCAGTGAAACAAGAAAAAGAATTTTAATTAGTAATGATGATGTTAATTTATAAAGTCAACCTTAAATTCCAAGAAACCTTTGTTCCAAGAAACAAAAAGCACAGAAATTCACATTGCATACTTTAAAGATTTCTGATAAATTCAGCCAATGATCATTTTTCCCTAACCAGATTTCATTCCCTCTTAGGTTTTCTATTACAAATTAAATAAACTGCCTAGGTAGTGATGCTGAACTTTCTAGAACTTTCAATGATGACAACTCACCATGGCACAAGTGCCAGTTTCACCATCACTGTGCTAGAAGTATCATCAATGAATCAAGACTTTCCAAAAGCCAGGCATGGTGGTGCACACCTGTACCCCCAGGACTCCGGAGGCTGAGGCTGGAGGATTATTGCAAGTTTGAAACTAGCCTGGGTTACAAAGTGAGCTCAAGGCCAGCCTGAACTACATAGAAAAAAAAAAAAAAAAAAATTCCTTCTTAGGAGACCAATATACTACAGATAGCACATGCTTGGCTAAACCCTACTACAGTGTCACACCTCAGCTTATGGATCTGACTATCTCAATTTAGGAGGCCAATAAAAATGTTCTATAAAGAAAAGAAAGATTTTATTTGATCTCTAAATCCAATACCCAGGGTACTTGGCTGTAATTCCAGCAGTACGAGGGATGCTGAGGGCAACAAAACAAAACAAAACAATGAGGTAAAAAAGGAAGCCCCAACATCTGGAAAATACTACAAATGTCGCTTTCAAAGTAGCTGATATGGTGGTGCATGCCGGTAATTCTAGTATGTAGCAGGCTGAGACAGGAGTTAGGAGACCAGCCTGCACAGTGAGTTTATTGAGCTATGCAGCAAGATTCACTATCAAAAAACAAAACAAAACAAAACAAACTAATACCATGTAGAAAAGAAGACTGACTCAAAAATGTTGAAAACTTACTGATGAAGATATGGTGCTTTTCATATGTATCATTAAACAATTCATCATCAATACACAAAAAATGAAAAAATGAGATAGAAATAAAAATCTAATTGACAATGTATAGCAACCAAGTAAAACAAATGTAATAATTACGTCAAATAACGTTTCTCTCTGGAGAGGGAACAGCAGGGCTACAATCAGGAACTTCTGTCCTGATCCTGTTTTATTTAAGCTGCACTAATCACTGATATTTTAAAAAATTATTATATGACTTTATAGATGAATGGCCTTAGTCTGGCTTACTTCCTAGCTGAGCTCTGCACAGTTAAGGCTGCCTCATCAGCAAGTAGGAAAGGCTCAAGATGTACACACTTACCTGATTAGACTTTTCCACTGTACTGCTGGGAACCTCAGTAGTGTCCTTCACAAAAAAATTATCTATGATGTGTCTCTCGGCACATTCTTGGCTGCAAATTGGGCATCGAATCACTCCAACTGGGAAAGACAAAGTGACATTCTGTATTGAGTAGTGAACTAACATGTCATCAACTCTAAGTCTTTTCATAGCATCATGGCACTGATGGAAACCACTCTAAGTGAGCTACAAATCCATACATTGGCTTTCTACATTAAAAGTCTGAGTCAGTCATACACCTACACGCCTAGGCTGACAAGCTAGCAGTTGGTGTGTGGAAACAGAACTCTCTGTGCCACTGGTCTCAGGAGAGGTCTCTATGGCCCATGTCGCTGTGATGTGACAGCATTTCAGTTGAGGACTCTCCCGAACAAAATTCTTTACCACTGATTGAATTTCACGACCTCATGCTTGCCAGGTAGGCATTTGTGCTGCTGAGCTATCTCCCCACCCTCTCATATGAAATCCTTTAGAAGCACATATCAATCTATAGGAAACACAAGCTTCCCATTAATCAGTGTTTCTTACTGGACCTGGCTCGCAGCAGTGCCCTCCACTCCTCTGTTCCCAGGATTTCCCTAGAAAAGTCCCCTGCAAAAGCTGTGTGCATAGAAAAAAGAGCAAAGAGTTCAGAGATTGTCGGTCTTAGGCTGAGAAGAACTCTGACCCTCTGGATCCCCAGTGCATTCTAAATTATTGTCTCTTTTATCCTTTGTTGTACCCTCACCCAGGTGACTGGGGGTCTGATCAGCCCCTGATAACTGGTGCCCTGTACAGGGACTTATCCAGCCTGGATGAGTAAAAAACATCACCTTGAGTGGATGCGGAGGCCTGAATGTTGCAAGACTTTGTGGGACAAATACAAAGACTTCCAACAAGGGAGCAAAAAGAAAAAAGGGTTGGTGATTCCACCACATATAGAAACTTTATCAACCAGAGCTAAAGATGGGGTCAAATTTGTTAGCAAAGGAGTGATGATATGTACAGCTGGTCTGCATTTTATTAAAGCAGCCTGGTGCCCATATACCCAAGTGATTAAATTCAATCTTTGGTTCCCCTCGAGCAGGCACCTTAGAAACTAAAGACTGGGAACGTGTGGGAGAAAATCTTCAAAGAGCCCATGGCAGCAGGAAGGGTTTCTCCTGAGACCTCCGCCACGTGGAATCTTGTTCCATCTGTGGTAAGCTCACTAGGAAGCTAGCTGCTGGCAGCGGCAGCTCTCAAGGTTAGAAAAAAAAGAAGTACCAAGTGCACAGCTGCTCCGTGTTCTGAGGGAAGGAAACCAAAACCTGGTAGTGTCCTGGCTTGCTCTTCTCAGGAAAAGTGCACACAGACAGTACAGGGATTTTTCCTTGGTGACCACCACCATCAGAGGTACCTGGAGTAAAACCACCTTGGCTTAAAAAGCCTGAAAGAAAGCTGCCTTGGGCAGCTCTGCCTAGCTACCTGCAGGTTTTAAAGGAAGCCACAGTCTAGAAGTTTTTGCCACTCTTGCATGCTTTCCGGTGGGCACCCAACATGAAGGCACATGAACACGTAAGGTTCTCTTATGTGTTCATGTGCCTTCTGAACTTCAACTGTGAAGGATCTTAGACAAAGTGTTATTAGTAATGGCGCCCAGAGTCCATTTACAGCAGGGCCCTTGGAAAATATCCGAGATTCATACTGCTTGACTCCTTATATCAAACATCTAGCAAAGACATGCCTCTCACTCATTTTCTTCATTTTGATGTGCAACTAAAAAACCTTATTGTAGAACAGGACCAAAAGAATATAACAAACTGTGATCCCCGGGGGTACACAGATGAAGAAATACTTTCTGGAATGGGGCAACAGGCATATCTTGAAGAACAGATTTAATACCCTGTTGAAGATTATCAACAATTAGCTGATTTGATGAAAAAGACCTGGGTATGGTCCCTGGGGATGATGATCCTGCCCAATCATTTTTACACATTCTCCCAAGGCCCAAATGAGTTTTTCACCCAACCTGAGGCAAAATTGTAAGAGGCTGTCTTGGACAAGTTTCTCACACCCATGCTACAGATATGTTACTCCAACAACTGGCCTATGCTAATACCAAACAAGACTGTAAATAGGCATTAGTCCAGGAAAGAGAACTAATAATATAAGGACCTATATTCAATCGTGCCAAGACATAGGCACTGAATTACGTAAAACTAATTTGATGGCCCAGGTTATGGCAGGTTTTGCTAAAGGGACGTAGGGCAATAAGGGTAATTTTAAATGTTTCAACAGTGGTAAAATTAGACATGTTTGTAAAAACTGCAAGGTCATGCTCAACCTGAGTGGGCCAGTGCTCAGCAGCTGAAGAGAGTAATGCCTTGGGCCTGGATGCCTCAGGTGCTATACCCAGTCTCTGCCCTTGCTGCCTGAGAGAGGCACTGGGCTGAGCACTGCTGATCTAAATACCGTGAGGATGGGATACTTCTGACAGGAAATGTGATCCAGGCATTGCCTCACACAACCTCCCTTCCATGAGAAGTAAACAATGCCAATCAGAACCTTGCTCAGCTTTATCCAATTCAGACCCACTCAGCAACTTCAACAGCCACAGATGTGGCTCCAAAGAAGGACATTATTTCCTTCAAGAGAGAAATAGCCCAAAGCACAGGATTAGACCATCCTGCAGCACAGAGGGACCCTCCCTGGAGGAGATCAGCCCACTCATGTCCCTATGGGACTATAGGCCCCACCTCCAGAGCACACAATGGGGCTCATTTTGGGTAAAGCTGACTTAAAATTACAAGTGTTATTGATTCACCCAAGTGTTACTGATAATGACTGTTCTCCCAAGCGTTATTGATAATGACTGTTGTGATGAAATTCAGGTTTTTCTTGCACTCAAGATATTTAGATACTTGAACAAGGTTATTAGATTGCACTATTGGTTGTGTTGCTCTTGGATAAGTCTTCTTTTGTTACATATAGACAAGTCAAAAGAAGCAAGACCTTAATAAAAATGTTACCAAGAAGGACATTTATTTTACTAAAGAAGCATCTGGAGGAAGGCCCATGTAGTTTATAAAAATTAACAGAAAATATTTTGAGGATTTATTACACACAAGTGTAAATAGCTCTGTAAAGTCAAAGAGCTGACATGTGGCCAGTTAGACACACTCCTACCTCCTTGGTGTGACTGGGGTCTACACAATGTCTTACAATGTCTCTCCTTTACTTTATGAAGGACCTGATCAACAACAGTCTTTTCTTAGCTTATGTGGTTCCTTTCCCTGTCGATGTATGGGATAAAGAATGCTAAAAATATGGAAATTAAGCCAACAAAACAGGGTCCAAAGCAGGATATATAATGAACACAATGGGTTTTCAAAATGGGAAAGGACTAGGAAAAAACAAGGATTCACTAAATCTCCTGCCTCTTGCTAAAAAATGATAAACATGGCATTGGTTATCAGTCACATTTTTAATGGTGGCCATTGTTGCTTCTCCCTCTAAACTATTTTACCTTTAAAATGGAAAGCAGTTCACTTAAATGGGCCGAGCAATGGCCCCTTAAACAATAGAAGCTTAGTCACTTACATAAACTGATTACAGCACAACTGCAGTTGAGACATTTAGGATCATCTGTTAGCCCCTGGAGTATGCCTATTTTTGTTATACCCAAAAATTCAGGTAAAAGATTATTACAAGATCTAAGGGCTGTAAATGTTTGCTGGCTGACCATGGAAGCACTACAACCAGGGCTGCCCAATCCAACTGCAGTCCCAAGACACTGGCCTTTAGTAATGGTTGACTTAAAAGATTAGGGGTTTTTTTTTGGTACCGGGGGTTGAACTCACAACCTTGCATTTGCCAACCAGGCACTTAGGCTGCTGAGCTAAACCCCCAGAAAAGATTACTTTTTTAGGTCAGAGATTTAGCTCAGTGGCATAAACACTGCCTGCAAGTGTGAACTGCGCCTGGTATAAATTTTAAAGAACCAAAGAAGCATTATCAGTGGGGAGTGCTACCACAAAGTATAAGCAATAGCACCACCGTGTGTCTGTTTTTGTAGCACAAGCCTAACAGTCAAACATTCTCTTCTACTTATATTATCCATTATAAGTATGATATCCTATGGGGTGCATCCACTAGACAATAACTTTATGAGGTTTTTGCTGAAACAAAACAAGCATATCTTTTAGCTTCTGTATTACCCCAGATAAGGTTCAATTATCTAGTCCCTATTATTTGAAAACAAAGAATTGTTTCTTAAACATTCATGTGTTATTCCAAGAATTACTAGACTTGAATTCATGTCATGATTTATCTCATGATTCAATTAAGGGCAACGCTGCAATTTGGAGTAAAAATTATCAACAGGTAATTACACAACAGGTAGAGAGACTCTAGACTTTCTGCACAAAGATCTGAAATTACTGCTATTTACTTGTTTTTCAGCAGTTTAATCATGAACATATCAATATAATTTAGTAATTCTGCTTATGCTATTTATCCTAATGGCTCAAATGCCATTTTGTGGACTACTTCGGAAGCACCTCTATTTACTTCTCAGATTACAAACAGCAATTTAAACTAGAACTGTCCCTTTTTATATTGGTCAATTACGGCGCTACTATCATTTACCTGGATTTTTAACATTTGAAAATCAACAATTCATTAATTGCTTTTATGACCCACTTGATGCAGTTAGATAACCTCACTTTTATCATCATCAAAATAGTAAAGCTTTACTAGAGAATTCCAATTGTCTAGGTCACAAGCAAGAAAAATTATCATGTCTTGCCCTTTCATCACAGTGGCTCCCTAAACCTATTCCACCAGAGGGCAGTAACCCTGGGCCTTAAAATGTAATGGTATTTGGCAAATAGGTCTATGCATTTTTCTTCCTTTGAAAAATTACAGTATGTCCATATGTCTACTGATACTCTTATGATCCATGCCACCTATCATTCATCATGTTCAACAACATGGTGATTATCTGCTTCTATGGGCATCTCACATACCAAAAAACTAACAATGGGCCTTCATATCTCACAAAGCACTACAATCCTCTTTTCATCTCTGGCATATTGCAGGTATACCCTACAACACACAA